TTCGAAGGTAATGAGTTCTCACGCAGAGCCTTCAAGGCCTTGTGAAGCCCAAGGTGCCAAAGGGCCCCAGCTGCAAATTCAGCCATCTTATTTTCTTTGCTTACCCCAAGCTTAGGAAGCAGATTAGAAGCTACATGGCCAAGGGTCGCAGGCTCTGACAACTGAAGTCCAAGGTTCAAATCAAGGCAAAGGCCTCCATTCTAAATGAGGTCCAGGCCCAGGCCTCAGCTCCAGCTCCAGCTCCCAAAGGTATCCAACGCCCTTGTGAAAGTCCCATAGAAAAGGTTTCTATCTGCCAGTGTGAAGACAAATGGACTGGGGTGGCACACCTACACACTATTTGCAGATGATCAGTGGCCTATGTTGTTTTTACAAATAAACTGGAGGCAAGATCTGTATTAAAAAGAAAAAAAAAAGGAAGGAAGAAAAAAGTACCTTACCAGGTGGTGATGGCATTTGCCTTTGGGAGGCAGAGGCAGGGGGATCTTTGTGAGTTCCAGGCCAGCCTGATCTATAGAGTGAGTTCCAGAACATCCAGTGCTGCACAGAGAAACCCTATCTCTAAAAAAAGCAAAAACAAAAGAAAGGAGAAAGAAAAAAGAAAAGGAAGGAACAAGTCCCTCACAGGTGTACCCAGCTGCCGGAGTTTTAATTAATTCCTGATGTAGTCAAGTTGACAACCAAGAACAGTCATCACAACTTCTGGCACTCATTCTCCAGACAACCACAGGTGGCATCCGCACCTTTTGAGAATGGGATGTAAATGGTATTCTAAGGTGCAAAACCATTTCCTGGCATGGCTGTCCCTTGCCCGTGGCTCTTCCAGACAAGCTCAGTAGCTATAGTCTGCAGCTCTGGGCCCCTCTCTATTCAAGGGGAGAGCCTTCCTAAGTGTGTGACCTCAGTTCCAGCCTGGTTTTAAAGAGAGGCTGGAGGGCCCCCCCTACCCAACCCCCCCCCCCAAGCAAAAGCCCCCTGCTGCCATACTGGCCAAACTAGAGATCCTGTCACACTAAAAACATGAGATCAGACAAGAACTGATGATGGCCCTTGCTGTTGGCTTTAAGGTCAGTGCTCCAGGCCTGGAGATGAAGCCAGCTGCCGGGTGCTAACAACAGAGGATAAACAACAGCAAACAACACCCAGTTCTGGGTAACGCAGGGCTGGCACTTAAAACAGAGCCAGAACCAGTAGGCCACACCCCAGAATCTGTAGCTACCTGCCCTCAGCCCATGGCACCTGCTGCCTGCTAGCTTTCCCATCATCCCCAAGCCCTGTATCACCCTATCCTCTTCCAGGCCTGTGAGGGATCTTCTGACAACACTGATTCCTCCATTAAAGTGTATTAAAATAGCCTGGTATGGTGGTATGCTCCTGTAGCGCCTGCTACCCAGGCTTGAGCACATGGGCTTCAAAGAAGACCAACACAGTAGCCTTTGTTTCTAGAAAGAGATGGGCTAGCTTTTCTAACATCTTACCAGAGAGCTCTGGCCCTTACTATAGATCAGCTATCTCGGGTTCTCCTTCCTCCCACCACCTTCCCTTTCACACTGTTCTTAGGACTTACATTCCTACCTCCCAGACAGAACACAGACACACACACACACAGAGACACACACAGACACACACACACAGACAAACAGACACACACACACAGTGTGACACAGGACAGAAGGAAAGATGAACATGGTCCTCTCCTTCTAAAACGATCATATCAGCTCTTCCAGAGTCCACTGAGCAAAGGAGGGAAGGCCCCCAGAGTGTCATGAAAGGCAACAGAATTAGGCTAGGCCAGGAGGAAATACTTCTGTGGGCACCAGCCAGAACCAGCCAAAGGATGAAGTAAGAGCCAGAGGCTGCTGGAGGCAGAGACACGGCTCCCCTCCCACAGCCACCAGCTTCCATACAGCTCTGCAGTGCATATTCCCAGCACAGCCCACTTCAGAAGGTTCCCTGCACAGGAGTCCCCACCAGGGCAGAAGGCAGGACCTGTCTGTCTGTGGGCATCCCTCACTCGAAGGACAAAGGGCACAGCCTAATGAAATCAGTCTTCTCTTTTTTTAAATGAGCACATAAGGATCATTTTTATGCGAGAATCTCCTCTAGGCACCCTTTTTCATGCTGCATCACCCCTTTAGTGTTAGTGAAAATCAAAGCTAGTCCTGGAGCCAGGGGCTCCTAGAGCATGACATCATCAGAGCCACAGAGTCAATCAAGTGTAAGTCTGCTTTGCACTGTGCTCACTCCCTGGCCATCACCTGCTTGGCTGGGAGAGAGGGAGAGAGGAAGGGAGAGAGGGAGGGAGAGAGAGACAGAGACAGAGAGGTAGAGAGAGAGAGAGAGAGAGAGAGAGAGAGAGAGAGAGAGAGAGTCTCCTAAACAGAATATTTTTTAAAAAGATTTGGTTTACTTTATTTCATATTTCTAAATGTTTGTGTGCCCAACTGTAGGTACTAAGGAGGCCATAAGAGGGTGTTGAATTCCCTGGAGCTAAAAGTATGGGTGGTTGTGGGTTGATGAGAACTGAACTGGTCCTTTAGAAGGACAGTATGAGCCCTTAATCCCTCACCCCCTCTTTTTTTTTTTTTTTTTTTTTTAAGACAGGGTCTCCCACTGTAGCTCAGGTTGGCTTGGGACTGGGACTCACTATGTAGCTCCAAGCTAGCCTTAAACTGGTGATTATCTTCCTGCCTTGGGCTCCTGAATGCTGAGATTGCACGCCTGGACCACACCTGGCTCCTTAGCAGGGCACTTCTGTCTTGATGGCCGTCTGTAGCTCCATAGCCCCAAGGAGGGTCTCAGAACCAACACAATGTTTGGGGTCCCTCAGACCCAGCTCATGTCAAACAAGTTTCAAAGCCTGCCTGATATTTGGAGGGTTCTCAACCTTTTGATGTTAATGCTGGAGGCCTTTATATACCCTACCCCACAAACTAACTCAGCAGGACCCAAGCGGGTCCTGTAATCTGTATTTCTTTGTGGACAAGGGTCTTTCTGGTGCCCAAATTAACCTTGAACTCCTGGGCTCCAGCAATCCCCCTGCCTCAGCCTTTCTGAGTAGCTGGAACTACAGCCATGTTGCCACAGAGTTCAGCTCAAAGGAATCTACATTTTACCCTGTTCCCATAGGGTTGTGCTTTGAACTGCTGAGGCCAGGAGGCCCATACCACACACACCTCCTCTCAGGAGGCTCAAGGAAGGGTGAGAACCCAGCATACATCTCAACCTACCTCAGTGCAAGCTGGAGTCACTGGAGTCACAGCAGTTTAGAAACTCCTATCTGCCTGGGTGTGGAGTGGGTTACTGCTGTGCACACTTGCAGACCCCTGAGGACCGTGGGTGGGAAGGTGCACATTTGGCTCCACACTCACTGTTCTCCCTCCCTTCAACTGGCCCCTCACCCAAAGCAAAGGCAA